TCTTGCTCTGTCGCCAGGTGTCAGGCTAGAATGCAGTAGCACAATCTTAGCTCACTGCAATCTCTGCCTCCTGGGTTCAAGCAGTTCTCCTACCTCAGCCTCCCGAGTAGCTGGGACTACAGGGGCACCCCACCACGCCCAGCTAATTTTTGTATTTTTTAGTATAGACGGGTTTCACCGTGTTGGCCAGGATGGTCTCGATCTCCTGTAATAGGCATGAGCCACCATGCCCAGCCAATTGTTAGTTCTTAAGAATGTTATGTTCATCACACCTTACAGAATTCCAAATGAATCAAAGATTATGGCCAGGTGTCTCAAAAAATAAAATTAAATTAAATTTTATAAATAAAATAATAAATAGGAGGCTGGGTGCAGTGGCTTACGCCTGTAATCTCAACACTGGAGTTGGGAGAGGGAGGATTGCTTGAGCCCAGTTGTTTGTTTGTTTTCTGAGATGGAGTTTCACTCTTGTTGCCCAGGCTGGAGTGCAATGGTGCTATCTCGGCTCACTGCAGCCTCCACCTCCCAGGTTCAAGCCATTCTCCTTCCTCAGCCTCTGGAGTAGCTGGGATTACAGGCGTGCACCACCATACCTGGCTAATTTTTTGTATTTTTAGTAGAGATGGGGTTTCACCATGTTGGCCAGGCTGGTCTCAAACTCCTGGCCTCAGGTGATCACCTGCCTCGGCCTCCCAAAGTGCTGGGATTACAGGTGTGAGCCACAGTGCCCGGCCTGAGCCCAGTAGTTTAAGACCAGACAGGGAAACATAATGAGACTCCATCTCTAAAAAAGTAGACCAGGCTGGGCATGGTGGCTCACACCTGTAATCCTGACACTTTGGGAGACCAAGGCAGGTGGATCGCCTGAGGTCAGGTGTTCGAGACCAGCCTCGCCAACATGGTGAAACCCAGTCTCTACTAAAAATACGAAAAAAAAAAAGCCAGGTGTGGTGGCATATGCTGGTAATCCCAGCTACTTGGGAGGCTGAGGCAGGAGAATTACTTGAACCCTGGAGGCAGAGTTTGCCGTGAGCCAAGATCATGCCATTGCACTCCAGCCCAGGCGACAGAGCAAGACTCCATCTCAAAACAAACAAAAAAACACTCTTGGCAAAGTCAAAAGTCAAACAACAAACAGAAAAAATATTTGCAACTCATTTGACAAAGAGCTGAGTTTCCAAATATATAATGAGCACCTATGAATAAGAAAAATGGGGGAAGGGTACACACAGACACAGAAATGATAATGTGTCTCAAACATATGAAGAGAGACTCATATTCTGCAAAGTAAGGTAGTTGCAAATTAAACCACCTGGAGATAACATTCTTCACCTCTCAGATTGGCAAAGATCAAAAAGTTTGATAACTGTGATGAGGATATGATGAAACAGGCACTTAGGGGGAATTGAGCAATAACCATCAAAACTCTGACCCAAATTGCCTACTTCTAGGAATAGATGCTATATACACACACACACATATGTGTATATATATATGCAAAGTTACTGCAGCAGTGTAATAACAGAAGATTGGAACTTATTTCAATGTCCTTCACTAGGGCACTGGCTAAATAAATTACTGTATAAAATGGTAGGAGCCATAAAAATAGTACTTTTGTACTCTTATGAAATGATTTTCAAAATATGTTTTGTGCAGAACTGTATGTATAGTATCCTACTATTTGCTTTATAAGGGTAAACTAACCTCCTAAAGGACACATCAGAAACTGCCTCTGGGAAGAGAAACTAAGTGGCTGGTGGACAACGAAGACTTTTCACTGTATGTCATTTGAACCTTGAGTTATCTTTTCAAAATACTCAAAGGCAAAGAAATAAAACCCTTTGTGGTGGTTCTAGGTACATGGAGTTAGTGAGAAGGGAACCAAAATTTGAGCTCCTACCATGTTTCAGACACTGTTCCAAGTACTTTCACATACACTATCCCATTTAGTGACCTGTGTAAACCACTGAGATGGATATAAATTATTCTAATTTTACAGGTTAGAAAATAGGTTGGATTGCCATGGGAAGGTATGCAAAAAAAAAAAAAAAAAAATAGGTTGGATTGTGGTCAAGTACTTTATTCGTTGTCGTGCCTGGTCTAGCTCCAAAGCTCCAGCCTTCTCCGCTTCTCACACTGCTTCTGTTTAAGCAAAGTGTCCTCTTAAAAATAATACTGGTCTCATTTATTGGGCACTTGATATAACAAAACTGCTAAGTGCTTTATGTATGTATTCTCATATAATTCTCAAGACAACTCTGGAAGGTAGGAACTACTCTCCCCCTTTTACGGAAAAGATAAAGGAGGAGACATCGCGCGTAACGAGCCCAAGGTCACGGGTACACAATCGTTTGGAAGCCAGGTTTGATTCCAAAGCTCCGGCTCCAAAGTCCAAACCACACCCGGTTCAAAGGACAAAAGCAGGAACGCTCGCTCGCTGGGCCCTGGGAGGTGCGGACACTTCCGGGGGAGGGGCGGACACTTCCGGGGGAGGGGTAAAGCCAGTGAGCTGCGGAAGGCGGGGCAGGCGCCTCTTCGGCGAGCTAGCGCGAGGACGTGCCGCAGCGCCGCTCGTCGATCACCTTGCCCCGCCCCACGTCGGCGCGCCCCCGGGCAAGCTCCTCCCCTAGCCCTGCCTGGGCGGGAAGCGAACGCGCGCTCCCTCCGGTTACCCTCCGCCTAGGGGGAAGGGCGGGAGAAGCGGAGGCGCGTGCTCGCGAGCTGCGTGCTTGCGTACGTCGCCGTGGTTCGGCTGCGTCCGTCCCGCCGCCCGCCCATTGCCGCCGCCGTCGCTGCCGCCGCGTTCTCGCTTTGCCCGCCACCGCCTAAGGGGGGCTGGGGCCGGGGCCAGCCACCACCGCCGTTGCCGGGATGCCGCGGGTGTATATCGGCCGCCTGAGCTACCAGGCCCGGGAGCGCGATGTGGAGCGCTTCTTTAAGGGCTACGGGAAGATCCTGGAGGTGGATCTGAAGAACGGGTGAGGAGGGCTGAAGAGGGGCCGGCCGGGCGGGGACAGGTCCTAGCGGTGGTGGGGAGGCCGCGGGGACGGCAGAGGGACGCCTGGTCCGCGCGGAGCGGCTACCGGCCTGGCCAGGCTCCGCCATAGTGGCGGCGCCTCGGGGGCGCGGGTAGGCCCCGGTTCCCACTGCGCCTGCGCGGGTGGGGGTGGTAGAGGCATAATGGGAGCTGTGGTGAGGCCCTGAGTGGGACGGGGTGAAGGAAAGCCCGAGTGGGGCTGGGGCTCCGGGCGGGAGGGCACAGCTCCAGGGCGCCCGGGAGACCTGGGTTTTCCCTTCCTAGGCCCGGGACTGGAGCCTGGTTTGTCTCTGGGTAGAGACTAACCTTTCCCGCTCTGAAGACTACTGGAAATAAACAGGATTTCCTGCTCCCTTTCACCTCTTCCCCAGTCTCACGGATCAGACAGTCACATTGCGTCTTTCCCGGGGACAGGAGCGCTGGAGGGAGGCCCATTTTAGCCATGTGCCACACTCTTGGGCGGGAGACTCCAGTTTGAGTAGTCTAGTGACAGTTTCGAAAGTATCGTCTTGCCGTGCTGAAAGCCTTCAGCGTTCCCTCTGAAGTAAGCAAGTCTTAACTCCTTATCTTTAAGACTCCGTGTAGCGTTTCCACGCTGTGGTTTCCGTTCTCCAACTTGCAGAAAAATTGCTTTGCCGTTGTAGAATTTGTTAGAATA